TATTCATAACTTTTTAGCTATTTAGATAAGCTACAAATTTATTTTATCTCATTGTAAATATTTTTCTTGTTTTCATTAGAGATATCCTGTAATCTCGTTCCCGTTTTTTTTTCGTGTATTGTAAGTTGTGTGAATTTTTCAATAAATTCTTTTGTCAAAACCACTTGCAATCTGATTCATAGCTGAGCGCCTTGCCGCCGGTTACAATAGCTTTATACATGTTTATAGCCAATTCAAAAAACGTTGTCATTGTCAAAGGAGATAGGCGATAGGTCATTCCGACATGGAAATGGTTTCGTTGAATACAAAAATATCGAATCAGTCTCAACACAAAGGTCCATACTCTTGACGAGAAGAAGAAGAAGAAACACAAGTCATTCCAGCCATTCTTTGATCTTGGAATGACTTATATCCTATCACTTTTCGCCTATCGCCTATCGCCTTTGGCGATGACAATGTTTATTGAATTAGGTGTATGCAGATTAAATATTATATATGCTTCCGTTAATATTATTAGATAAAAAGTTTACTTTAGTGATAAGCAGCGATGGTTTTTACCTCTGAATGATGCGATCAAATTCACGCCGAATTGCAAATCCTGCTCGACGTACTTCAATATTCTCTACCAGACCAAGGTAACGAACTTGGTGTAAAACCCTGGTAACGAGGAATGCGAGATAAATTAATGTGACTGAACACCAAATATATTAAAAAGGTAGATATATCATCACATATGAGTAGACTTTGTCAGATTTTTGCGCTAGATTAAAGGGGTTTTCTCCCTCAGCACAACCTAACAAGGTCAATTCCAATTTAATATATACGCGTGAGTTAGCCGTGCCCTGACTTTCATCAGCCCATAAATTTTTTCAGGATTCGATCTGTGAGTTAGCCGTGCCCTGACTTTCATCAGCCCAGAGGTTATTTTTTAGGGTAATGTTAAAACTTATAGGTTCTTTCCGCATGCATGTTTCGATATTACATAATATCTTTACTTGCTGTTGTCCCAATCCAATGGTATTTTAGATTCTGAGGGTTTGATGCAGCGTACGTAATGTGGTGTGCATGTACGAATCTTCTCAACCAGTGCATTTGCCTGAGTCTAAAAAATATATCAAAAGTAATATTTTAATATTTTTTATCTTTTTGTTAATTCATGATTGCAAAAACAAAAGAATTTCAATCTCATGAGAATTGAAAACCTATATATATTTATGTCTTCAAAATGACCTGCATTTTAACGTGCTGTTAAAATGCACGCATCATTTTTGCGTCCATTAAAATTTAGCTGTGGTCAGTCTTAGCTCGACTGAGCTCTGAGAGTACATCGCAATGTTGACAATCTAACCGTACGTTTTTCAGTTTATTCTCCTGAAAGGCAGACTCGAATGTGTGTTGAAAGCGCAGTTTTGTTGTCAAATCCTAGTTATTTAGATCCATACCCTGATTTTTGCACTCGCTGTATTCGACTTTGCTTTCCTTCCACCAGCACCTCTATCACCGCTGACACCATATATCGCATCAGGAAACAAAGCTTTGACAAGAAAACTAAAATAGCAAACAAATCGATACAAGCAAGTATTTCAGTGAGTAGAACTTAGAGTATCCTTCTAAAATGGTTCATACAAGACACAGGGCTGAGAAAACCATTGCGCATGTTTGAATTTGTATGTAAATTATATTTAAAATTCAACATCACTGTAAAAACTGTTTTAAGTCTTTTCTAATTACCTTACTGATAGACTTAAAAATAGGACGTTTGCATGATGGCGTCATCTACCTCTACTACCAGACTCCCTTGCACGCTTTCTTTTGTTCAATTAATTAACACCAATTGTCTTACTATTCTCATGAGGAAATATAAATTTAAATAAGGAAGAAAATTCGCGAAGCATCATGGTAGTGGGAGTCAAATGACGCTATAACTCAAACGTCCTATTCAATGGCGACACTTAAAGCCACTTTATTACACTTTATTAACTCCGTATCACCGGCCCACAAAGGCATACCGCTAATCGATACACTTCTATAATGATGTCTTTTCCAAAATTCTATTCGATTTTAAGAAAACTTGCTATAATGCGCACATGCGCAATCGTTTCTCTGCCATATTTTTATGTCAAACAACGTAGTTAGTGATAGGTCCCTGCGCAAATTCATACTACTTCACTGCTCTTCAAATGTCGTATACCAAAGTTTCCTGACTTCCAAGGCAAACGAGAAATATGATTTTACTTACTCTTGACTTGACTGCATGAGACAAACCAAATCATTTGAAACTACATCTTTGTTTTTCTCACAAAATCCGTCTGATTCGTAAACAACCTACCAAAGCAAATACGAAAGATTACCATGCCTTTCAAGCCTGAATTGGTTGAGCATGCATCTCTTGAAATGAGAATAAAAGGAATAAAAGATGAAGTCACCACGTTGGCTGATCTAATATACCAAAAGAAACCAAGACTAATTCTTTTAGGGTAACTCAATTCAACCTAATACTGGAGTTATAGTGTTCAACGTTTTTCTACCAACCTTTCCTGCATAGTGGTTTATGGCAAAATGTTTTGATTGAGCTTGGAAATATTTGACGTACGTATTATTGGATCCGATGACCGCTCGAAGTTTCTGGAACAAAGTTAACGAAGAATCTTTTACGCGAAAGTTCGCAAAAGTCACTACAAGGCTCTTGTATGTCCTATATTTTAAAGTATCGTTTCAAGGTTTAAATAACAAAGGAATTGAAGAAGTAGATAGATGAAGGTTTGTTACGCGAGCAATTAAAACTATTCTTATAAACTTTTTATTAGAGCTGTATGCCAAAAACCAAATAATGACTTCAGTTAGACAATAGCAACTAATAACCATGGCAACCGCRTAACCATAGCAAACATTCTATGGTCTTCATTCGTGTAACCATGACAATGCCGGTGTGTAACCATGACAATCGTGTAAAATTTGCCATTGGGTAACCATACCATGTACCGCGTAATCAAGACCAAAAAATCATCGAACTGAACGTTCTAGATACCACGATTTTGTATTATTTTAGTGTGTAATGAAGGCAGGTCAAGTTACATACTTCCATTAATGTGTGAGCAGATCCTTCAGTTACAGCATGCATTGTACTACAGACGTCATCTAGAATACTCATGACTCCAGGAGGTCGCTACAACGAGAGCATGTGGCATCATTATTATTTACTAACATCTATGACCATCGAATACAGCTTGTTGTATCAGCTTTAGCAGTTAGACAAATCACACAAACAATAACTCACCCTGCTCTCTATCAGCTGACAGACTTCCTCGTTATTGAAGTAGCTGACATCAGACCACGTGATGCCCTCTTTGGCGTATTCTTCCTATAGTAAGAAGCATACACTCRATTAAGAAATCATTGTCGGATTCAAATCGTAGAACTTATAGAATCTGAGACTGAAAGATATTCTGGAAAATGACACATTTTTGGCGGATGTGTTCATTTGAGATACACAGTCGATATATGATATGTTTTATTAAAACTCCGTTCATTTTTAAAAATAATTACTTTCGCTCTCTAAGTACCCATACCAATATGTATATAACCTCTCTGAAACCTTTTTTCCGAGATAATTAGAACATATGTTTGGAAAGTTCAAAGGATTGTGATATTTTTCTATACCTGTTCTGTCTTCAAAGTAAAATCAATGAACAAGTTTTGGAGCTTTTCATTCACGTAGTTGATTGAAAACTGTTCAAAGCTATTTTTCTGCAACAAAAGAATCAATATTTAACACTTGCTGCATAGGTTAGCTTATTACATATATTATTAGTGAATTATTGGCCAATTCTATTCAAAATACATCTTGTTACTACGAAAGATGTGGATAAAACTTAGCCTTTCCTTCAAATAGTATAATGGGATAGCAAAACACCATCGCTGATTCAAAGGGCTTATGGCATACGCTCAAACATCCACAGGTTTCATGGTATACAAATTGTGGATCAAATCATTAGTTTTCTCTCTTTTTTGGAATATAAAATTAATATCTTGTCATTTTCTTGCCATTTAAGACCAGTGCCTTTGACCTACCCTGGTGAGTCCTCTCTAGAGGCACTTAAAATTATTCTACTCAAAACTTGCCTTGAACGACTCAAAACCGTAAATATCGAGAACTCCAATGAAGAACATCTGTTCGGTTTTTTCCATTGTCCTGTTTACAGCCTTAACAAAGACAAATTAAAAGCTTGTTTGCATCCAGGTGTATGGATATTTTTATAAAGAGAAAAATAATCGGTGAGGGAACGCGGAGAGAGGGCCTTGCTGGAGGGGACATTGGTCTCCCCTACACTTTTGTTTGCTAATGTCCAATAGCTTTCCCAGTTAGATTCGGGAACTGCAAAGATTGGTAAAATGGCATTAGTCGTTTCACGAGGCGCTGGATAAACAATGGTCTCGAGCGCTGTGATTGGTCTAAAGGATGTCGTCAATTTTGTTATACTTTGACAGTGTTGTGTGTCGTGCCCTTTCGAAGTTAAAGGGGCACTTGGATGAAAATGGATAAAAATTGGAAATGACTTTAAACTTAGTTAAACGTATCTATATGGCCCCAATAGTAGCCAAGCAACATACTTTCTTCACAGTAAAATGTAGCGGATAAAAATTATCAGTTTTATTCAGCATCTAAATTTGGAGTAAATGACGTCATTTACTCAACCCTATTGTTCTTTCTGCTTTTGAACCAAAATATCTCAATAGCAAGTGGCTCCCAGGCTAAAATATTCACTAATCTGGTTTACATAATCATAATTGAGCCAAATTATCCTCATATACTTCAATTATTCCGACTTTCAAAAATTGGGGCGTCTACTGCAAAAGTCTACTGCGCTATCATACAATACCTCGACAAGATATTCAAATAGTTGAAAGTATAATGCCTTGGAAAGTGAATCGAGTGCAGCTTTTGCCTACGAAAAAAGTGCAAGGAAAAAAGAGTCCAAACTTAGAGATTTTGAAAATGCACTGACCAGTCGGGTAGCAAGAGCAACATGCGTAAGGAAGAGATGATGCATATAATGCATATTGTAATAGAGTGCATACCATATATCCATGAAAAATCTTGTAAGAAATTGTACAAACTTGTACAAATTAGTACATTCATTAGACCGTAGACCTACAAAACTTTCCACTAAGTTGTACAATTTTGTTAGTTTACGATATTCACTCTAGTAGATATTACACTTGTATTTTACAATAACTTACAAATTTCTCGCGCGCTGATTGCTTATTTTTATCATCAATAAGAGGACAGACAGATAAAGCTGACGTCAACGAGCGCGCGCTCTTTCCATTGGTTGTTTTGATCGCTAAAAATGAGGTTTTTTTTATCGTTTTTGTTATTGTAAAAAAATACGCCTCGTGGATCCACACTACTTTGACAATGTGATGACGCAATTTATCGTCAATAAGAGGACAGACACATAAAAAACTGAAGTCTATTTGTTAATTCGATGGTTATTAACCTGATCTCTGTTGAAGGTTTTCTTGGTGATTTCTGTGGCTCCTCCCCAACGTGACTCCATGTTATAGCTATAGATATAGACAAAGTCATGACATACAAAGTGTGTTTAACTTCACCTTAGAGATAAATAGCATAGTATACGTGCTATGATGGATAGTCCACAGTTACGAATCTTCTGTTCCCGCAGGGTTGGCCTGGAATTTATATGGAACTAGTTTTGGATATTCATGCGTTTCAGCGAAGATAGTACGTGGAATTTCAAATTTTTTAATTAATTAATTTTTATTTCATTTTTTATTTAAGTTAATATTTCTACAGGAACATCCAATTTGGCAAGGCTAGTTTAAATGGAGTCCTGATCAAAAACGAGCCTAAAAGGGTTAAGAGAACTAGGACTCCTTTTCGAGTGGTTTTACTGTATACTAGAACATAGCACGTGCTTGGCCAATAAATAACCGTTATATGCATGATAGTTATTTTTGTAATTAGTTCAAGAGCGATACCTTGTTAGTTTATCTTGCAAGATGGCTTTCTCCACACCCAACAGATCAGAGGGAATGTCCAGTGCTGAAGTCAATAAGATCAGTAACTTTCAAAGGGGCGTTTCAAAGGGGCGTTTCAAAGGGACGTTTAAAAGGGGCGTTTAAAAGGAGCGTTTCAAAGGGACGTTTCAAAGGGACGTTTCAAAGGGACGTTTCAAANGGACGTTTCAAAGGGACGTTTCAAAGGGACGTTTCAAAGGGACGTTTCAAAGGGACGTTTCAAAGGGACGTTTCAAAGGGACGTTTCAAAAGTTTCAAGTACTTTGGACATCTCCCATAAAAGGGGACAATGTTAATACCACTATTAGATGTTGCAGAATGTTCATAAGACAAGGTCATATTAATACGTGACAGAGAGCATCATTCGAGCCATTACTGCCTTGGAATAACTTCTTCATCTAATATGGCTTCTCTCATCATCACGGTCACGTTAAGGCGTTGCCCCCCCCCCCCCCCCCCCCCCCATTTTATTTTTACTTTCATAGATCATAACCCATTTCCCCATTTCAGTCCACGTGTCAT